GGAGGACATATGGACACTAAGATGTCTGTGTGGTGTGGTCCCTGAGAAACATTTTTAATGGTCTGTATGTGCTCACCTTTATTTTTTTAAAAAAACTCCCTATCTCCATCAAGGACTTGAGGCAGGGAAGGGACAGATACAATAAGGTCACTAAAATGTGGAGTGAAGGGAAGGGGTGGCTCACACATGAGGTGTCTCCTCCATCTCAGCACTCATGGCCACGCCCTCGCAGGTGATCATCAGGGAAGGAGAGCTGCTCTGCGGGGTGCTGGACAAAGCGCACTATGGGAGCTCCACCTATGGCCTGGTACACTGCTGCTACGAGATCTACGGTGGGGAGACCAGTGGCAAGGTTCTCACCTGCCTGGCCCGCCTCTTCACAGCCTACCTGCAGCTCTACAGAGGGTTCACCTTGGGTGAGTACTGGGCGAGCAGCTCCTAGGGCCCTTCTCCTGGCCAGCACACCAACCAGAATGTCTCCAGGCTCTACTAGGGCAGTGGCCAGGCTGCTTCTACAAGGATATCCTCACTCAGCAGCCTTACGTTTTGTCAGTGCTTTCTGCCCCTCCCCCATAGCCAGTGTTTCTTCATCTGCAGCACAGTGACCCGTGTCCCCATTTCCATTCTGTCTCTTTCTCGCCCTCATCCTTCACAGTTTTCTGTCCCTGGGTCTGATTTTTCACACTCACCTCCATTCTTCCAGAATTCCCTGGGCACTCTCTGCTCTGTAAAGGGTCTTCCCTGTTGTTAGACCTGCCCAAGCCTCCCAGCAGTAGGGGCACAGTGCTATGGGAAATGACATGTTGGGGCAGGCCTGCCAGGTGATCCTAAGATAGGAAGAGGAGCTACCTTGTTTCCTCCCTGAAACGAGTGCACACTGTTTTAGGAATTTGGCTTTGCGAAAGAAAACAAGTGAGCTATTACTTTCTGTGCACTGGGTAGAATTGAGATCAGAAGATCTGCCCAAGGGCTCAAGGGCTGGAGTGTGTGCATTGGCCAGCAGTGGGGCTTCAGCAGTTGTATAATGTATATTCATTGTGGGAAAGCCTACATAAATACAGACATGAAAATTAAGTCACCCAGTATTCAATTGCCAGAGAAAACCACCAATATCTATTTGATGTGCATCTTTCTAGACTTTCCAAGTACAAACACATTCAGAAAAAATGGGATTCTACACTACATGCTATTTTGTAATCTTTCTCCCATTTCCAAATGTATTTGTAAATCTCCTTTCGTGTGAACTAATATTAACCTACATCCTCAGGTCTGTGGCTACAGGTTGTTTTGATTGTGTAGATACCTGTAGTTTATTTAACCAGTTCCTGTTATTAGACATTTAGGCTGTTTACTGGTTTTCACTTTATCACTGGCATGAGCACTCCTAAACAAATATCTGTAAAAAATGAGAAGTGCAGAAAGATCTCCCACCCAGATCACAATGATTTCCAAACATAACAAATAAGCCATGCGCGCAGCCCTGCTTAGCACATGGTACAAAGAAAAACTGGCCAGAGTGCAGAGAGCATCCTGATGCTGCGAGGCTGAGAGGGAACGAGACCAAGCTGGACACAGAGGGAAGGGCAGGCTAGAGGTGGTGCCTTCACTCCAGCCCTCAAAGCCAGAGGGGTCAGTGAAGAGACAAGGTGGCCTGGAGCTGGCCCCGTGGAAGGACCCACTCTTGTGGTTATGGCTTCCTCACAGAGGGAATATTTCTTTCCCCTCCCGCTCACACATGTTCTTTAGAGGCCCTCAAGCTTCCAGGACAGTGCAGTGGGAATTCCAGATACTTTAGCCCAGCTCTTAATAGTGCAGCCATTGTTTTCCTTCCCACTCAGATCTTGGCTGAGGGACTTTTGACTGCAGTTACACTCACAGATACAGACAGAAAATAGTTGATTGAAAAGTGGAGTAGAAAGACATCCTGCCCAAGATGAGGAATTCCTCAACCCTATGGAGCCGGAAAGACAGGCTTAACTGAAGTGGCTCAGGCTTTCATCCTGGGCAGGAGCCTGTGGTGGTGGTCATGGTCACCAGGCTGAGTGTGTCTGTGTGTGTGCCTGCACACCCATTCTCACGGGTGGGTGGTCGCTGGAACAGTCAACTTCTGGGAGTCAAAACCAGGGTGTTCTCGCCCTCCCTCTCTTCTTTCCCGAAACTCAGTTTTTCATCCAGAACCCATTCCTCACCTCTAGCCCATTCATGCAACATGTATGTATTGGGTTCAGGCAGTAGATCTGGTGCCTAAGAGCACAAGTTTGGACTCAGGCCTGTGTTTACTTTCTACCTGTGTAGGTTTGAGCCTTAGTTTTGTCATTTGTAAAATGGAGATTTTAATGCTTGGCCTTACACTTGCTGAGGAGATGGGAAGCACTTGAGAGAGTGTAGCAATCTCTTAGTGATGTTAATATCGTCATTATTCAGGTGCTTCCTGGGTATGTGACCTCACTAAGGTGCTCCATGCCCTGACCTCACTGAGTTTATATCCTGCTGAGAAGTCAGGCCCCATCCCATCTGAGCTTGTCTGTTTTACTTCACAGGTGTAGAAGACATTTTGGTTAAGCCAAAGGCGGATGTCAGGAGACACAGGATTATTGATGAGTCCACCCACTGCGGGCCCCGGGTGAGGAGGGCCTGGGAGGCCATGGTCTGCTGCAGGGGTCAACTTTCCTACCAAATGAAACCCACACCTTCCCCACTTGGCCGCTGCCTCCAACATGTTCCTTTTCTCATTCCAGGCTGTCAGGGCTGCGCTGAACCTGCCAGAAACCGCGTCATGTGATGAGGTCCGAGGGAGATGGCAGGATGCCCATCTGGGCCAAGACCAGAGGGATTTTAACATGATAGATCTGAAGTTCAAGGAGGAGGTGAACCATTACAGTAATGAGATTAACAAGGTTAGTCTGGCAGTGAGCACACTTATCCCCACCATTTTGAATGCTGATTTTTAAAAAAATTACATTTTGATTCTCACTCGGGGCCCTTTAGAGCAATTTGGCTATTTAGCAGCTGACTTGATGTGAGATTTGAGGTGTGATGTGCAGAATTCAACGCTTTGAGGAGCCAAGGGCTTCATCCTCTTACCCAGTTAGTGTCTGGAAAGGACTTTGCTTAACACAGAGCAGGAATGCTGTGCACATTTTTTGTTTTAAATTTTATTTTATTTTTTCCATCACCATTTATTCCCTCTATGCTCTCTTCCACCTGCCCCTCTCCCTGTGCACTTTTGTTTTTAATGTTTGTGTTTGGGGCTGACTACATTAAAGGGGACGGAAGACAGAAAATCTTTTCTCTGGTGCCTCAGCTGGGTGGAGGAGCAGAATGAAGGGCCAAAAACACCATTGCTGCTTCTAAAACGGACCCAGGGCTGAAGGCTGGGCTTAAATCCTAGCTCTGCCACATACTTGATATGTGATCTCAGGCAAGTGATGCAACCAGTCTATGCCTTGTTTTCCACACCTGGAGGTAGGGATGTTAGGAGCACTGACCTCATTGGGTTGCTGAGAGGGTTAAGAACCTAACCTATGTAATGCTTTTGGCATGGCAGGAGCACTGTGGAAGTCCTCCTAAGTCCCTGTCTGCTTTTCACTAAGCCAGTTCCTGTGCAATTAAAAAAGGAGAGGGAAATCCCTGCACGAGCCAAGACCACAGTCTGTATCTCACCGTCGTCTAGTCCCAGAGCTGGGGTTCCCAGTCCTGTGGCTTGAAGTGGCCAACCTGACCCTCATCTGCCTCCTGGGCCTTGAGGCCCAGCCTGAGAAGAAGAGGAAGAGGCAAGGCCAAAACTCAATACAAGTCAGTATTTGACTGGCTTTCAGCAGCTCTTACTTAGTCTGCCAAGTACACAGACCTCTCAATCGTATAGGTTCGTCCTTGAGAGGTTTTGTTCAGAGGAGCCTTCCCAGCGCCTCCCTGAGAACTGGGAGGCCTGGCATCCAGGGTTGCCTGGGAATGCTGGGCCAGGAGCATTGTCCCAGTGGCATCTCAAAATGATGCTTTTCCCTCCTGCTCATCTCTTCCCATCACCCCTTCCCACCTACTCTGCCTCTCCTGCGTTGTACTGGGTCTCTGCAACTCTAGGCAGAGGCTTAAATAGACCCAGAGAGCCCCTTCTCTAGGCTCCCCCCAGGGGTTTTGCTTGCTGGCACTAGCCCTGGAGCCAAGGCAAGGCTCCCACATGGTGCTTGGGCAGCACTTTGGTAAGTGTGAACATGACAGGGATATTGCTCCTCATTGCCAAGCCAAGGCCATGCTCTTCCGGGGAAGTTCGCAAGGGCATCGCCTCAAACTTTATTTTTAACCAGCTTCTTTTTAGAATCACACCTACATATGCTGGCCCTTCTTCTTCTCCTGTTTGGCTGCCCTTTGCCAGTGGCAGGAACCTTGGGCTTCCTGACAGATGGTGTCAAGAACAGTACATGGGGCCATTGTTAGTTAGACTTCCAGGGGTTCTAGCAAGAGGGTTAATGCCAAATGAGACTTCTTGCCTCAGGTGGGGTTTGGCGCATATTTCTGAGCAAATAGTGTGAGTTTGCTGCTTCCACATTATGGGTTTACCTTCTGACCCTGGGATTTCAAAAGGGGGTGAAGTCACTGATCGATGTGTTTTAATCCGCAGGCATGCATGCCTTTTGGCCTGCACAGGCAGTTCCCAGAGAACAACCTGCAGATGATGGTGCAGTCTGGAGCCAAAGGTTCAACTGTGAACACCATGCAGGTGCGAGCAAAGGCAGGCTGGCCAGTTTGCCACAGGGCAGGGTGATTGCAAGAGGAAGTTTCAGATTTGTTTTTGATTTTAAAAGGATCCATGCATGTTTTGTATAAAATGTGGCAAGTACTGAAAAATATTAAAGCTTGTAGAAATCCATACAGGAGCTTACCACTGTTAACAACAGTGTTATGAACAAATATAGATGTAAGTATCCAGATATTATGTATAATACAGGTAGTTATTGTAAAATTACACTCTGTAACACTGTATTTCTATGTTCATGTTATATAGAAACACTGTGTGTGTGTGTGTGTGTAATCTTAGCTGAGACCCTGCAATTTTCCATGATCTGCTTTTTCCATTTCGTATTATATAAGTATAGTCCTAGTGTTTCTAACCCTTAATTTGAGGCCCATTATCTCCTCAGATTACCTCAGTGCTATGGCAGCATTTTCACAGATCTTAGCAACTTTTTTTTAAAAATGTTGATGACCTTGAGAGGAACTTAAGGAACATCTCATTGTTTGGTGACTCAAGAATAGGAATGAGCTTAAAAAGCTAAAGGCCATCAGGAAGCCCCCTTGACTAAAGTGAAATCCAGATATACTGTTACGCACCCCCACCCCCAAAGTATAGGCAGCATTATTCTCTGTGGGCCTTAGAACTTAAGGATCACAGTAAATTACTTTTTCCTGCAGGCCTCAGTTTTCCCATTAGGGCCAGCACTCAGGTTCCTTCTAGATATGATGTGATGATTCTGAAACATGGCTTCTTTATAGCCCATTTACACTGACACCAAATGTGAAAACTCTCCATCAGTCAACAAAGGAAACACAATTATTTTCTTGAAACGCAAGCTCCCCTAGTTCATTAACAAATCTAGGTTGGCCTTTAAGAACTCAGTTTCCATAGCTTTTTTTGAAGAGCTCTCCTGCTAGGACAAAGCGTTGTTTAACACCTGTGGATCTTGGGTTTCTTTCCCCCAGATCTCGTGTCTGCTGGGCCAGATTGAATTGGAAGGTCGGCGACCCCCACTGATGGCATCTGGCAAGTCACTGCCCTGCTTTGAGCCCTACGAATTCACCCCCAGGGCTGGTGGCTTTGTCACTGGCAGGTTCCTCACTGGCATCAAGCCTCCTGTACGTATTTTGGTTTTTCCTTTTGGCTATTCTCCTCATTTCTAGGCTCATTGGTAGGAAGCCTTTGACTTCCTCCAACAACTTGGAGCACGAACAATCAAGTAATAAATACCAGGCCATTTGCTGCTTACCCACTAGACCCTATGGTCCACGAGGACCATAAGGACACAACCATGTCATGTCCACCATTGTGATGCCAGAGCCTCACACAGTGCCTGGCACATGGTGCAAGCTCAGTGTTTGCTGATAAATGAAAAAATGAATAAGACCCATCCCAGTT